TAGATGGAATGAACAAGCATTTATTGACGTATTCATGAACGGGCTTTCAGATAAACTCCTAGATGAAGTCGCCACTAGAGACCTACCCAATGTGCTAGAGGAATTGATCACATATCTTTCCCACATTGATGAGCGTCTTAGACACAGGCAGAATACTAGAGACAGACCTCGACGGGTGCCAGAACGTTTAGCGTTAACCTATCCTTCATCCGAGACAACAACAGTCGCTCCTCCAGAACCAATGCAACTGGGAGTCACGCGTTTGTCTGAGGATGAAAGACAATACCGCCGTAGGGAGGGACTATGCCTGTATTGTGGCCGAAAGGGGCATTCTCGTTCAACCTGTCCTAACCGGCCGGAAAACTCCCGCACCTAAGCCCTCATGGAGGACAGGCCTTGGGTGTAATGTGTATGTCCTCCTTTAATGATAAAAAAGACCATAGGCTTCTTCTACCTATTGTTATCGAGTGGGAAAAGAAAAAAGTACCAACCATTGCCTTAATAGACTCTGGGGCGGCCGAAAATTTTATTGATCATAGATTCGGTCAGGAACATACTTTCCCATTTCAGAATAGATCTACACCCTTGGCCGTTGAGGCCATAGATGGTAGACCATTATCTATCCCGTTTATCACACAAGAGACTCTTCCAGTGGTATTGTCCGTAGGTTCCCTGCATAAGGAGGTTATTATCCTACAACAAGTCACTTCTCCCATCTTCCCGGTTATTCTTGGTTTTCCTTGGCTCTCTAAACATAACCCTTCTATAGATTGGGAGAAAAAGGAAATTGTAAAATGGAGTGAGGCCTGCCATAGAAAATGTATTACCCCTATTAAACAAGTAGGTCTACTTAATGTACCTACTATGGAACCTTTAACCACTTTAATACCCAGACAATATTGGGATTTAAAAGCAGTTTTTGAACCAAGAGAGGCAGAAAAATTACCCCCACACCGGTCCTATGACTGTCCAATTGACTTGTTACCCGGCACTATGTCTTTTAACACTCGCTATGGTCACTACGAGTATAGGGTCATGCCATTCGGGTTATGCAATGCCCCAGCAGTCTTTCAAGACTTCATTAATGATGTTTTAAGGGAATTTTTACATATGTTTGTTATTGTCTACTTAGATGACATTCTAATCTACTCCAAGAATATTCAAGACCACCATACTCACGTTAGGTTGGTTCTTTCTAAACTATTAGAAAATGGACTTTATTGTAAATTAGAAAAATGCCAATTTGATATAGACACTGTGCATTTTCTGGGTTATATAATTTCAGGGTCTGGATTTCAAATGGATAAGAAAAAACTAGAAGCTATCCTTAATTGGCCCCTGCCCGTTGGTCTCAAAGCTATCCAACGCTTTCTAGGGTTTGCCAATTATTATAGAAAATTTATTAAGGGTTTTTCTTCTATCACTGCACCTATCACTGCCATGACTAAAAAGGGGCGAAATTCTATGGAATGGAATCTCGAGGCCAAAGAAGCTTTTGAGAGACTTAAATTGGCCTTTTCTTCTGCACCAGTATTGAGGCATCCCAATCCCTCTCGTCCATTTATATTAGAGGTGGATGCATCAGAGACCGGTATTGGGGCCGTACTGTCTCAACGTCCATCTGATGATCAACCATTACATCCCTGTGGATTTTTTTCTAAGAAATTAACTGAGACAGAAAAGAGATATGACATTGGGGACAGGGAGTTATTGGCTATTATCTCTGCCCTCAAGGAGTGGCGCCATCTGTTAGAAGGGTCTACCGTTCCCATCACCATCCTTACGGATCACAAAACCTTTCGTATTTTGGAGAAACTAAAAGAATGTCAGACAGACAGATTAGATGGTCTTTATTTTTAACACGATTCAATTACATAGTAACTTACAGACCAGGATCAAAGAACACTAAGGCTGACGCCTTATCCCGTCAATATGAACACTTATCACCCACAGTAACACACCTCTCTTCCATAATCCCATCCAACCACATAATCGCAACAGTCCGTGCCAAAATCTCTTCAGGGTTAATGGAAGAGTTATCTAGGTTTCAGGATCAGACCTCATTGACTATTCCCAGGGGAAAACTATACGTACCCCTGTCTTATCGAAAAAAGGTTTTATTCCTTGTACACAGCTCCAAATTAGCAGGACATCCAGGTATTCATAAAACTGAGTCTTTACTTGAAGAACAATTTTGGTGGCCTTCATACAAGAAGGACGTTCGCGAGTTCGTTCTTGCTTGTAGGGTCTGTGCTTCCACCAAATCATCCAAAGCTCGTCCTTTGGGCCTCCTTTTGCCATTGTCCATTCCCGATAAACCCTGGACTAGTATTGCCATGGATTTTATAGTGGATCTGCCCCCTTCCAGGAACCATAAGGTTATATTGACTATAATCGACAGATTCTCTAAGATGACTCATCTCATCCCGCTAATCAAATTACCCTCCTCTTCTGAACTGGCCTCTTTATTTATAAAAGAGGACGTACGTTTACATGGCATACCTCAGGATATTACATCTGACAGGGGTCCACAGTTCATTTCACGGTTCTGGAGGGCATTTTGTGACCAATTAGGTATTGTCCTTAACCTTTCTTCTTCTTATCATCCCCAATCTAATGGGGTTACGGAAAGGATGAATCAATGCCTGGAGCAATACATCCGCTGTTTCACTTCTGAGCACCAAGACGATTGGGTGGAATTACTTCCATGGGCTGAATTCGCCCATAATAATCTAATCCACGAATCCACTCAACATAGTCCCTTTTTTGTTAATTATGGGTTTAATCCTACAACTTTGCCGAGTTCTTTTTCGTCTACAGGAGTGCCTAGTGTTGACAGTACTCTCCACAATATGAAAGACACTTGGCTAGGGGTTAAACATATCTTAAATCAAAAGACTCAGATTCAAAAGAAAAATGCGGATAAACGACGTAGGGCTGCCCCTACGTTCGTGGCAGGAGACAGGGTTTGGTTAAGTACCCGCAACATAAAGTTAAAGGTACCCTCGATGAAATTTGCTCCCCGTTTCATAGGTCCGTTTCAGATACTCAAACGCATTAATCCGGTCTGTTATAGTTTGAGATTACCGAATACTATGAAAATTCCTAACACTTTTCATGTTTCCCTTCTTAAACCGTTCATTTGTAATCGTTATACGCAGATTGTCTCCGCTCCTCCTACCACACCAGTGGAAGATCATGTCGAATACGAAGTTAACTCTATATTAGATTCCCGGATTTCTAGAGGTAGATTACAGTATCTCCTTGATTGGAAAGGTTACGGTCCCGAGGAGCGATCGTGGGTCAATGCATCAGACGTTCACGCCCCTCGCCTGGTTCGTCTGTATGAAAGGCGGCGCTCTTGTGGGTTCGGTTCCACCCGCCCTGGGGGCGGTTCTCAAGGGGGGGGGTACTGTGACAAGCGCTTACCTTTTCCCCGCCGGTCCCGCGCAGCGCCGGGTCCTCCTCCGATCCTTCCGGGGGGCGGCTCAGCGATTCTGACGCCGTCCGCTCGGAACACGCCCACCTTTATGACGCGGCGCATGCGCGCCGACGTCACATCGAAAAAGGCGCCAAAATTCAAACGTGGCCACACTCCCGGACTTTTTGGGGGCGTGGCTACGGAATTAAAGCCAAAGAACCCACACTATAAAAGGGCAAGCATGACACTTGTCAGATGCCCTAGTGTGGTTCTTGTTTAAGTCCCCTGGTGCTATCTTTTTCTTATTGTTCTTCCTGGTATTGACCCTTGGCTTACTCTCTCTGACTATTCTGTTTTCTGGCTTCCCGTCACTTGGCTTGGATTATCGTGTGCCCGTCTTCCGTATTCCCTTGACCTCTGGCTATTTCTCTTGACTATTCTCAGACGCTAGTCCGGCCATTCTAAGGTCCGGTAACCCTCTTTCTGTAGGTTTCACGCTGTGTGAAGGGGTCATTGTTGTGACTTTGGTCACTGTCGTGACACTTATTTACATACATTATAGTTACAATGGTACCAAATGGCAGTATGGACTTGGGATAGTAACCAATTGCAGTAAATATCCCAATTCAATCAATAACAGTATGAGCTTAAAATAGCAAACAATCACACTACAAAGCATCAAAACCAGTGTGAATGGAGCCCTATTACCAGGAGTGGTGGAGACACAATATAGCAAGGGCTGAGAATCACATGGGGGATTAAAATGAGAGGCAGGGTAGCCACTTGGAACTGTTTTATAAGTGTCCCTGGAACAATGGGACAACATACGGCTGGAAAAACAATAACGACCAGTGTCTTTCACACTATCACACAATAAAGTGCATGAATAAAGAAAGTGCTTATATAAAATGATACTAATCCTCCTTAAAAAAAATTTTTTTTAAAGTGCTTGAGTGAACAAAGGTGCATATAATTAGACACTCAACTGCAGTATATAGGGTGTGTCCAGCTAGGGGAGACAAGAGTAGCACAACATTGTGCAAAACTGTGTAATGAAATAGTGGTGTATATTAAGTGCCAATTGGCCACTCACACTTTAGATCCAAATAAAGAGCCATCAGAAATTAGTTGATGTTAATCTTCTCAAATCTTGGACTTTATTGATGTCAGTCTCGTTCATGAAGAGTCAACCAAATAAGATAACCATAAAAATAAAGTGCACAATGCAAAATGTATTTACTTACACAGAAGTAAACAGTGGCAAGTGAAACTGGACACAAAAGGTTCACAGGGTAAGTCCTATGCATTTCATCCCAGGGACTTCCTCAAGGATAGTCTGCTCCATACCACAGAAATGATCCCTCTCTACAAAATATCAACGAATATAAAAAATGCCACCAACACAAAAATTCCCTTGTGTAAAAGCCTGGGAAAAGGACCTAAACTGTTCTTTTTTGGACAAAACTTGATACAAAATCATATCAATATATAAAGGTATGACCTTCTGCTTATTCCACGTTGAACTCAAAAGGAAACTATTTTATTGCTGGTACATGGTACCAACCTGCTTACATTAAATATTCCCTATATACACAAACATATGTTGGATATGCTCCAACTCACCAGGCACAATGACTGACATATGGTGGGGGCTGTCCCACAATAATTAAAATCTGAACGCATGTCATACAACTTACAAAAACAACCACCACAATAGATATAAATAGTACAGCAGAAACAGTATTGCTATTCCATTTCCTTGCCTCAATCACCAAATCAACAAAATACTTGATCTTCCATAATTTGATAGCAGCCTTAACCTTAATTGGGAGAAATTGGAAAACATATATAATACCAATAATCAGGGGCGTACCTAGAGCATTTTGCACCCGGGGCGGATCCTGTGCTTGGCACCCTAGCCCCCCCCCCCCCTCCACGAAAAAATCAGTAAAATGTTAAAGGTTTTCTTTCTTTCTTTTTTACAATTTGTAAACTTTGCAAACACGCTGTCAGCCCCTCCTACAAACCCCTTGTCCTGCCCCGCCCCTCCTACAAAACCTCTGTCCTGCCCCTTCTACAAATCCTGTACTGCCCCTGTCTACAAAACCCCCTTCCACAAATCCCCTGCTTATCCCCCCTTATAAAGACTCCTGTCCCAATACAAAACCCCCGCCCCCTTCTACAAAATCCCTGCAGCCCCACACACATTTACAGGCAGACAGTCACACACTCAGTTACAGACAGAC